AACTCAGCAAACGGAAGATCTGTATTGTTTACGGTTCAGCGTGATACTTCGTGCGATTACAGCGACACCTAATATCAGCATTTACGCACTTCAGCCACTGCCAGTCTCTAAATGCCCAGTAGTCTACAGCCTTTTCGTTAGATAGAATACGAGTTCGTACGACTAGAGTTCAGATAGCTGCTCTCAGGGAACATTCTCTCAGATTACACACCCCCCACCAACCCACAATTGATCTGAGCGATAGCGAGTTGAATGTAAACGTTATGGTTTATATACCTATATATATCAATCAGTTAATAATAGTCTATAGACTCATAAGAGATAACCCATAAGACTCGGGTATTGTATTAGCTATTTGATGTATATTAATAATACTATATATTATTATATTTATATATAATAAAACCTTACCGTCTACATACACACCAGGCATCGCTCTCAGTCATTGGTCTACCGTGTCGCACGTCGGTTGCGCAGGTTTGCTGACACCGTAATACCAGCACAAAATAAACGCTTATATCGTACATAACAACACAAAGTAAACGATATACGTCTACAACGCCACATAAACGAGCTGACACGTATAACAGACATGTAAATGTCAGATTTGAGAGTCGCCGGAAAGCCACCCTAGATGTCACCTCGTGTCTCTTAAGCGTGATAGAGTTATTGCTCATGCTAGCGTCGTAATATGCCGACCAATACTCGTCTTACACAGAGAAACACAGTCACTACACCTATAGCTTTATACTTATTATATATATATTATATAGAATAATCAATATATTAACCGTATTCTGCACTTGACAGCGAGGGACACCTGATCGCTAACAACGCAGCAACGCAGCCCACGCACGCACGCATGCATGATGCACGCAACGCACGCACGCTACACACGCACGCAAAAGGAGACGCAACGTACACAGCACGCACGCACGCAGGTACACACGCACCGCAAAGGACACACGTTACCACACGCACGCCACGCCACGCACGTATGCACGACGCAACGCAACAAAACGCACGTTAACACGCATTGCATGACTGCGCGACGCACATACGGCACGGACGCCACGCACGCGCGCCACAAACAAGGTGCTGCTGACACAATTGAATACCGTTTAAATTAATATCTAATCAATCAATCGCATTACCGAATAATCGATTTATTGCTACGAGCACACATGCCGCCACCCGCTCTCTAGCGGACACGAATCCTTCCTACACGCACCCAGCTTCCAGCAACTCGTAGCCCTTGACATGCTTGATATAATCTCTACGAAGCATTAGCAGCTACGAATCAGGATATGATTCCACGTTCTGTCTTTGCTTTGTGTAACGGCTATGGGGGTGTTAGACATTCACGCGTTATAATCTCACTATGTAATGTTAGATCTAATGACGTCGGCCTAGCATGTGAAACGGAGTAAGTACATTAGACGCCGTCCACGAGGCGTCTATCCACCTCACCAATCATACACATATTCATCTGCCAGCATGGCGCGGCACTGTCCGATCACAGCAATGCTAATAGATGACGTCACTCGGTCGCCATATTGCTCGACCAAGAATCGATTTAACGCCCAGTGACAACGACAATGACAATGCCAATGCAAATGACATCGACAATAACAATAGATGGAGGCAATGAGAATTTGAGAATGACATGACAAATGCCAATGACAATAATCAATGACAATAACAATGACAATGATCAATAACAATTGACACATGACAATGACAATGACAATTACAATGCATGACAATAGCCACCTAACATAATGACAATTGACAATGACATGAGCAATGACATGAAAGTGGACCAATGCAAAGATGACATGACAATGACAATGACAATGACAATGACAACGACAGTTACAATGACAATGCACGGCTATATGTCGGATCACAATGTCAACGTCTGCGACTGTCGTCAAACATGCAGCAACGCGCGCGCCGACCAATTATGGCGCGCAGCGTGGACGTCATGTAATAAGCAGATGCAGCGGTGTACTATTAGTAAGATAGCGGTCTATGTCCCGGGTCTGCTCGGAACGTACCCCTGGCCGTACGCGTACTCGGCTATACCGAAAAACGTACTATGGTAACTATTTTAATATGACCGGACTCGCTACTCGCGCTACTCACTAACCGAGCAATCTAGGAAGTCGCCTACCGCCGTACTCTCTCTAACCCTAACCTAACTCCTAACCATATCAAGATAGTTACCCAGGGTACGTTTCGGGGTTTTTATACCGGCTGAACCGTACCAGGGTACGTTCACGGCAGTACCTGGAGGGAATAGACCTCTCTCAGCCGCTACTGTGGTGTTTAGATCGACGCGGTCCTTATTATTGTAATTGCTTGCTGAACACGCATGGCGAGCACGACGGCCCCGAACTCACGTGACGAACAATGATTGACAGCTTATCTATTGTATTGCTGCTAACACCGCATGGGCGGAGCCATCCGTAGATGCGGCCCCTGTCGCAACCTCACCCCTGTGACTCGGAAACACTGTATTAGTTGATCAGGAACAGCAACCTACGGAGCAGTTCAGTTCACACACGGCGGGTCGCAGCGACTGGAAGCAGACGATTCTAGCCTAGGTGACAGGTCATAGCGAGTACTGCGCAGTACGATCGTGCTACTCTTGTGCTGATTCTTGCTAGCTGCTCTGTCGATACCAGCCCAGCCAGCACCCTACGTATATGTATATTATGTATATATAGATTCATAGATTTATATTCGTATAATTATTTCCACATAGATCGACGATACGTAGTGACATACGCTACACTTAACATTTCGCGCGGGTTGTGTAACAATATTATTTGAATCTAATTATCTGTTATTTCATTTCACCGCTGTTGTAGACGACGCTACGATCGTGGCGCCATCTGCCGGAGCAGTTATTAATCATAACGCAATTAAAGTTCCTACATCTAGAGCGATGCTAGGCTATGGGGACCTCTTCATTGTAACTCTTCCACTTGCGCCCTCTGCCGCTTTGACAATGAACTACTGATTAGTTACTCGTACAGTAATGTCTAGGCCATTCTTCACTTTCTTCACATCTGAACAGGATGCTAGAAAAATAAACAACAGCGATTAAAGTTGCTAGCATCGGAATGTGGCCACCGCAAGGTTGCCCATTGCAATGTTGCCATCGCAATGTTGCCATCAGAATGTTGCCATCGCAATGTTGCCATCGGAATGTTGCCATCAGAATGTTGCCATCGCAATGTTGCCATCAGAATGTTGCCATCGAATTTTTGCCTTGGAATTGCGATGCACATACGCAATGATGCCCATCACAAATGTTGCACATCGGAAATGTTGTATCGCAATGGTTGCCATCGACAATCGTTTGCAATCGGCCAATGTTGTCCATCGGATATGACCGATAACATGACTAATGACAGACAACACACGTTATCCAGATTGCGCGGCGATAGATGGCGCTGCTACACACACACACACGTGTCAGTAGCCTTCGATCCAGAATAATAAGGTTTTCTTGAGTGACATTACTTGACACTTCTCTTCTTATACTTGACACTATATACACGAACAAAATATCATAAACAACTGTGGTGAGATCACATTTTGTTCATCCAAGTTCAACTCCATCTCTCTTAATATAATCTATCGATCTATATCATATATATATTATTATACTATTTACATATATATATATATATAGTAATTACTACGCTCACCAGCATTCTGCTGTTACTTGCGCCACCTACGCGAAACAGCTACTTATATAAACATTGTTATTACTCTTACGATTTTCTAGATACCTAACATTTTGAGCCTAATACCTAAATTAAGCAACATTTTTATTGCGTTCACTATTAAAGAATGAGTTCGAACTTCGAGCTCCGAAACTAGAAGGTTCCCCTTGGTGGCAACCTTCGCACCTAATATATTCTTTTACTCGTTCGTTCACAATATTCATTTCGTTCGTGGTTTCATAAATATCATTGGTCGGGAGAGATACGTCCACATCCAATGATAAAAATATTTTCGACGCTCGATTATTGCACATTATGCTACGCGGTACATAGTAGCAACCCAACATAGACCAGGACGCGTGAACACACACATGGATTCATCCGCGCATGCGTGATATGCTACAAAACAATCTCCCAAACTTAAAAATAATAAAGTATGCTTGGAATGCGTTCTAACACATCGCTACGACTGATATTTTATGATTAAAGCAAATGTAGGGAGAGCGACGGTAGCGCCCCCTATCTCTCACATTTGTCCTCATAAAACTATATTTAGTTTAAACATTAATTACCTTTATATTATGTAGATTATACCCTCGATCCTGATCACAAATAATACTGGTCACGGTCAATATCGTGATAAATCAATATTGAATGATATCACCTATAATATTGATAATATAATATAATAGAAGCTGCCTAAAACAAATAATCTTGATCTTTTTTTTAGTCTTTGTCAACGTAGTCTGTATAATGTATGAGAACGAGATTTGAGTTTGGCATGTTTGGACTTAATTATGACAATAATTCACTAGGCGGGGGTATAGGAATGCACGACGTACGACACTCACTCTACAGTCGGGGTAGTCCGACGTCTACTCTGCATGACTCCATCTCCTACTTACACACACGCACGCACGCACGCACACACGCACGCACGCACGTACGCACGTACGCAGGCAGGCAAGCCAGCGTACAGACGCACGCACACACGCCCGCATGCACGCACGCAAGCGCACGCACGCACGCGCGCACGTACGCAGGCAGGCAAGCCAGCGTACAGACGCACGCACACACGCCAGCATGCACGCACGCAAGCGCATACAAATAACATCGAAACTTCTTTTTAAGAATACCGTACATATAGCAGCAACTTCACTCCAAACTATATACTAATTGCCTATCGAGAAGCCGCTGTTCACTTGTCTCAACTCATCCGACGCCAGGGGCGCCACAAGTCTATTCCCTACGCAGCGCCCCCTACATCCCGCCGCTGCCATCCCTCCCGGAGAGGCTCTCGTACGTCGGCGGGAGCATGCGCGCGCCGACGTCTCCGTTGCCGTCGCCGACGTCCAACGCTTTGTTCGTCTTCCCGCCGTTCGCCATCAGAATCGACGCCTCGTCGTCGGCCGTCGCGTCGTAGCCCCGCGTCGCCTTCACCGCTCCCATCACCGTCATCTCGCCGACGTCGTCGTCGCCTATCTGCTGCTTATCTTCGGGGATGTTGACGACGCACCGGAACACGTCCCAGCGCGGCAGCAGCCAGCCGCGTTCAAACACCGCGCGCGCCGTTAGAGACATCCCCACGGTGGCCGCCAGCGTCACCAACATCGACAGAGTCCGGAATGGAAACCTCTGCACGTGGTTGACGTAATCGTAGTTCGGGTATTTGATGAAGGCGCGCAGATGCAGGAACGGCTCACCGCCGCCTAGACGGAGCACGAGACCGACGATGTACGCGAACAGACTGCCGTAGGTGTTCGTGAAGTCCATGTGAACGACGGCGAGAAGCTGAGGAAAGAGCATGACGTAGACGAGGTCGGCGCAGAGGAACCAGAGACCGTAGATGGATTCGATCGTGATGCCCATCACCGTTGCCATGGCGCCGACGCCGAAGATCGCGACGCGCATGACGCAGAGCACCTCGCGCTCGGAGGCCTGCGAGGGGAAAGTCGGAGTTAGTAATAATAGAGGTAGAAGAGGAGGCCTGCGAGGGAAGTCGGAGTTAGTAATAATAGAGGTAGGAGAGGAGGCCTGCGAGGGGAAAGGTCGGAGTTAGTAATAATAGAGGTAGGAGAGGAGGCCTGCGAGGGGAAAGTCGGAGTTAGTAATAATAGATGTACAAGAGGGGAAGGTCGGAGTTAGTATGAATAGAGGTACGAGAGGGGAAGGTCGGAGTTAGTGGTGATAGAGGTACGAGAGGGAAAGGTCGGAGTTAGTGGTAATAAAGGTACGAGAGGGGAAGATCAGAGTTAGCGACGGTGGAGGCACGAGAGGGGAAAACGGTTGATAAAAAGTCCAGTACTGTTTAAAAGACGATTACAAATTATAACCATAACACACTCTCAATGGTTAACTGCTGCATCAAATGTGTTTTAGAATTGTGTCCCTGTACGTTTGCGACATTTATTTGCGCTATTGCGACAATGCTCAGGGGTTTGCGACAATTCAAAGGGTTCCGGGACATTGCTACTCATTTTTGCGACAATTCTGAAGAGTTTGCGACTCTGCTCCGAAGTTTAGCGACAATGCTACCCATTTTTGCGACAATGCTAAGGGTTTTACGACATTAATTTAAAGTTTAAACGTACAATGCTACTAATTTTTGCGTAGCACATGCCTGCGGGTTTTTTGCGTACACCGCTTTGAGTTTTGCGACAATCAACATAATAGGGTTGCCAGCGTTTCCTGCCTCACATACGCGCTCCGCCAATAATTAGCTTGACGTTATATATAACATATTATATATATACATATATATATATATTATATATATATTATATATATATATATAATATATATATATATATATAAATATATAAATATATTATATATTCATATGTACATATATATAATATATATTATTATATATACATATAATATTATTATATATATATTATTATGAATACGTTCTCATAACGTTCTGTCGGATTGAGATCTGTAGATGTGCGACGAACATGGAAAGGCGCGAGGAGAGATGAGTCAGAAGCTAGACATGACGGCAAGGCGACTACAGCCCCGTAGCCCGATGAAAGGCAACCCAGGCAGCGTGAGGTACTGCCAGCACCAAGCGCAGCACCAGTCTCGCCAGTCGTTCTCGCGATCGTGCGCGGTTGTACTCCGTGTTTGTTCCAGGTAATGCGGGAAAGGAGAAAGCGGGGATGACGGTTGCGCCATGGTGATGCGTTTTACTCGTTTTGGGTTGTAGATTCGCCATTATTATTAACTAACTAACAATTATAACTAAGTAACCAACTAGCCAACCAACCAACCAACTAACGAACTAATCTAACTAACTAACTAACTAAACTAAACTATACTAACAACCAATAACTAACCGCTTTCGACGACCGACCGACCGACCGACAGACGCGACCGCCGACCGACCGACGACGACGCATTGGCGACCGACCGACGACGCGACCGACGCGACCGAACCGACCGACCGACGCAGACCGAAACGACCGACCGCGACCGACGACCGACCGACCCGCCGACCGACCGACCGACCGACCGACGCGACGAACCACCGAGCGACGACGATCGACGCGACGACCGCCCGACAGAACCGACGACCCGACCGACCGACCGATCCGACCGACCGGACCGACGACCGACCGCTGACTCGGATCGAAACGAGCAGATGGGCCCCAGCTCGCTGGCTTTCAAAGTAAGTTTCCAGTTATAGAGTAACACAAATTCTACAATGCACGGGACAATCCTTCAATATTAAAGAAATAAACATTATCATTTAGACAGCCATAATCCGAAACATCACCCTCTTCTGTCAACAATTTGTTTGAATACCCCCCCAACTTTTGTAATCGCCACTAGATGGCGGCACGTGTCGTACTGTTCGAGGATGCCAATGCGCCTATGAGCGCGGGTGGCAATTGCATGACCAAAGAGCAGCGACAGCGGCGATGTAGGAGAGGCGCCTGCGCACTGGTGCGCGGGAACTCTTGGCCGACAGCACCGTCGCTGAAAGTACACTGCGAACACGCGACAACGAATGACGGCTGTTCCATGGAGTGTGTGCACCCCCTTAACTAGCATCATCAAACTTATTTATGCAAACCACCACACAGACACGCACGCACGCACACACAGACACACACACACACACACACATACACACAGAGCACGTACGCCACCACCAACAGACACACACACACAGATCGACGCACGCACGCACGACACAGACACACACGCAAGCACATACGACGCACCGCACACCCACAGGACTACCAGACACAACCACACACACACACAGAACGCACCACGCACAACCGACAGACAGACGGCACTACACCACAACAACACACCGCGCAGCACGCACGCACGTACACACACATCTCTACAATTCAGGGATAGTTTTTATAGTGATTTTTAAATCGATTCATAAGATTATCAGTATACAGAGATAATATCAACAAAAACAGCAGCGGAGCAGGCAGCGAGACAACAACAACAATAATAATAATAATAATAATAATAATAATAATAATAATAATAATAATAATAATAGTAATAATAATACAAATAATAATGGAATTCGTGAAATTAGCGCCATTTCCTTGCAATAAATAATAGAATCCGTAACACAGCCACCAGGTGTCGCGCGCACGCGACACAAAGTTAAATTCGCGTCTACGCGCCAAATTATTCCCCTTCATCCATAACCATTCTCCCTCATCCACTCGTTACCTGCCAGGGAGAGAAAGAGAGAGAGAGAGAGAGAGAGAGAGAGAGACGATGACGATGATGATGACGATACTATGATAGAGATCATTACATCCAGATCCATGATCACACTAATGGTCGCCCCTAGAGAGAGAGAGAGAGAGAGAGACGATGATGATGATGACGATACTATGATAGAGATCATCACATCCAGATCCATGATCACACTAATGGTCGCCCCTAGAGAGAGAGAGAGAGAGAGACGATGATGATGATGATGATGATACTATGATAGAGATCATTACATCCAGGTCCATGATCACACTAATGGTCGCCCCTAGAGAGAGAGAGAGAGAGAGA